TAAATTGAACTGGTCCAGACTATAAAAAATTGTCTAGTCTATCTGTTGGAGGACCTACCTTTCCTCTCACTGGTCAATTACCTGGTGATAGAACCACTCCCAGGAAGGCTGGGTTACCTTAAGTTATGCTAAATAGATGGGCGGAATACCTATTGTGTTAATAAGGTTACGAATATTTCTGCCTGGAGCTAGCTCAGTTCCCCCGCAGAACTTCCAGATCAGCCACAGCCTTGTAGCTCTCCGTAATTTCTTCTTTTCTTCTTCTTCATGCCTTTCTTACTAAACATGCTTTCTTTAAGGCTTTGGGCTGCCCCAGCATCTTATATTTCTTTCCCTTTTTTCTAAAGCTTCCTTCCCCAGCCATGTGGCTGCAAGTCAGCCACATATCTGACCTCCATGCAGGCTCTAAACCTGCATGGCTTCCATGGCTTTCTTTCCTTCTTCCCACTATTCACCTCCTCAAGGCAGCTGCCAAGATTACCAGCTTGCCTGCCCTGAGGATTTTTAAGATTCTAATAAAATTGTAAAAGTTTCTGTTTGGGTCCATTCTTAAATTCTTTCATGAATGAGACTAAGAACCCTCTAGGGGACCCTCTTTCTCCCTGTTTCAAAGGCAAACAAAAGTTTCAAGCTTTTAGTTTGTTACCAACCCTCTTCCGTTCTAGGAATCCCTTTCTAACCTGCTTTCTAAGAGTAATCATTTGCTTTATGACATTTTCTCGTTTTTTTAAATCTGAATTTAATGGAAGAAATATTGCCATGGTAATAGATTTTCATTTTTCTAAATAGGTATTTCTTTTCTAGGGCTCATGCTTCAAGAGTTAGAGCTTCAGTGCCATAGTGTTTTGTTTGCTTTTCTGTGGCAAGTTGTATAAACAGTTAATTACTTGTAACTTAATTTGAATATCAAAAAGAGCATTGTCATAGAATATGTGAAACAAGATCTAGGCAGAGTTAACATGCTTCCTACAGAAGCAGGAAGAATAAAGCACAGCCCAGACAACCCAAACTGAGGCAAGTTAGTGCATCGGATTTCCAGGTAGTGAGACCTGTGTAGGCTGTGCTGGCCTTGTGCTTCTTGGAAGGCAAATTCATAAATTAGACTTTTCCACCTTGCGTTTCCTGTCTTTTCTTCATTACTACTCAGACACTGAAGTTGGCTGACCCAGGATGTTCTTGCCATGTTGGTCCCCTCAAATTACAGAAACCTTCCCAATTCTACACCCAGCTTGAGTCTGAAATCTTGCAGAGATGGGGCAAAACTGCTCCAGGGACACACACTGTCTTTCAGAAACCCATTCCCTTTGTGATGATTGCTTAGCAATGCAGGGTTGCCCTTCACCTCCTCTTAAATCTACTGAGACAGCCATTGCCTGCGCTCTGCTGGGATAGTGAGCTCTGCAGGAAAGCCGAGACCTACAAATCGGCTGATGAGATAATGGGGTAACAGAAATATTTGAGGAAAGCACTTGTGATCATTTTAGTAAGTGGAAATGACACAGCATCTCGGGTCTCAGGGGCACTGTTCCTGTTTGACAGTGTGAGTTCCTCAGTGGCTGAAATCCTGCAGAGATTTGGGAAAAGAGCAATGTTGGTGCCTGAACCGTTAGCTCCTTCTGGTAATTTACCTAGCTGTTTACAAAAGGCGCTTCTGCAGGTCCAAGTATGTGAATGAGGAGCAGTAGCTAGGAATTTCTTCCTGCACATTAAGTGTTAGCAGTTCCTTAAATGAAGGAAGCAGATTTTTTTTTTTTAAATAACTTGCAAAGCTTCTCCTTCATTCTTGGGGGAATTTCCTATGTTAATTTATGCAGTGTTAAATTTATGCAGTGTTGAAATTCAGCCCAACAGCATCTCCATACAGAAGATGCTGAGATTGTGGGAGAGTCTGCAAGGTGGAGCACAGACCTATCAGGCCTGCCGCTCCCGCCAGCCAGAGGCCTCTGGGTCTGGCTTTGAACAAGTTTCATTGCAGTGCTGTGATTGAGTAACGACAGAGTGTTTTATCAATTTATTCATCTTTTTAAAACCTCAACTTGATGTTGTATTTGTTAATGTCTGACCGCAGTGAGGAAGTTTTATACCACCTCTGCCACCCTTCCATGGCAACTGATTGACGACACTTTATAGACCAACCCTGTAGCTTTCCTGTGGTCCCTCGTGTCTCCAGGGAGTAACACACGAACCATTGAGCCATTGCAGTATCTCTGAGGGATTAGGAGTTTAATACATGTAGCAGGATATGTGGTGAATGTGACTGGGATGTGCTTTAATATCTGTTCCAATGTATTCTAATGGTGTCCAATCCCCATCCCAGCCAGGGCCCAGCTTGTCTTTCTCCAGCAGAGTCTAGCATTGCTGACATCCTGCTGACAATTACCCACCTATATAATTGCTCAAGGGTGCAGAGAAAAGAATGGTTACAAGAATCCCTGAGCTCTGGGAGAGCTCTTTAACTGCTGCTTTCATTGTGTTGCACTAGCTGCAGATTATCACAACAACGAAAAGAAGAATATTACATACCTGGCCATGTAAGGAGAGGCATAGCCATGTGATATGGACTGGGCAGGTGCCACCGTGCTTAAGGGTCTCCCATTGGTGAGTTCAGAAATGCATTGACTCTGTGATCATGCAGCACTGTTCATGAAGGGGTTACTTTCTCCAGTAACTAGATTCCCTAGATGGACTCAGTACAGATCTGCTTCAGACTGGCTTCCACAGTACATTTAATAAAGAATGTTGGGGTGAGGTTGTCTGTGTGTCAGGCATTTACAGAGCACCTGCCTGTGAAATTGGTGAGACTTAGATCAAGTCATAAAGAGGTGAGCCTAGGAGAGATGCTGTGACACTGTGTCATTGGCAGGCAGTGTCTGACTTGCCTGATAGCTGCTCTGTGTTTTATTTTGCACCCAAACCCAGGACTTGTGATCGATTTGAGAGGAGCCTTACATGCAGTGTGCATGCTGCTGACCGCCACCCCCACCCCCCAAGCAGCGCGATCACTACATCTGATTTCTCCTTTCCTGTTTTCTCTAAACACTAGAATTGTTCTAACTTCCTGCTTGACTGAGTTGAGGTCTTTCCACTGTGTGTTCTTTCTCACTAGTTTACCCCAATACTCTTTAGTGTCCCATGTCTCTAGACTGCCTGTAATCATGGACACCAAGACAGTCTCTCCACCCTTTGATTTTAGGACCCAGGATCCCCTCTCGTCTGCCCCTCTGCTCTTTGTTCTTTCCCTTTGACCTTCATCATTTGACCTTTGACCTCTTTTCCCAAACCTTCAACTTCCTTCCAGACATTCTTTAGGGATGATTCATCCAAAAATCAGTTCACAAACTCAAAACTTAATTGGTCTACGTTTACAGAGTGACTCTTGCCGCTGCCATCTTTGTTCTGGCGTCCCTCCCACATGCCTCATCACCAGGTCCACCTGAACTCTCTCCTCACCTTCCCTCCTCTTCTTCCCTGGTCTTTTCACACCTGTATTTTCTGTACTCATCCTTTCTTGGTTTTTAGTCCATTCCTCATGGGTCTTCTGCCTCCACACTCCACTCTGTTGAGTCCACTGTGCCTGGGATGTCAGGACAACCTGGGCAAATGTCATTCTCCTATCTGACAAAAGCATTTCAGTGGCCAATAGGAAGCTTGTCCACTTAGTGTCCATTCTGGCCTCATGTGCACTGTTTCTCTTGGTAAATCCTGAGCACATGGCCTTTCTTCTGGTTGGTCCTGTCTCCCTCCTTATGATCTGAGAAGCAAGTTGGTGTCTTCCTGACCTTTAATCTGCCATTGCGTTACCCCTGCCTTTTCCCATCCATACCTCCAGTTCTTTGTATTCTGCCTGCAATGAGAGATTGTATGTGGTGCCCTCCCTCCTCATAGCAGCTGTGGAGAGGTGCCCTCCATGCCAGACAACTTTTGAACTCTTACCTTCCCTAAGTGCAGCCTGAACTAGAAAACAGGAAGAAAAAAACTTCCCCGTGCTTTGTTCTCTTGGAGTTTTCACTGCATACATGTCTTACCTACTTAGTAAATCTTAGCATATATTTAGCAAATAAATAAAAAATAGCAGAGTATTAGGCTGCATTAAAGTCTCATTGCCCATGGGCATGTGTGTCCTTCCCCATAGCACATGACATAATGTACTGAGAGTTCAGTAGGAGCTCAGTTGAGAGCTGGGTGCAAGGCTGGCAGGAGGGTAAGGCCCAGTGAGCGATGAGCAAGGGGCAGCCTGAGGCCTCCTGCTTTCTGGTGTGTGCTTTCAGAACTGAAGGGAGCTTTAAAAACATCTGTAAGAATTGAAATGGTAGCCTTTTCCATCATAAAGATCTCTAAGAATTGAAGTATTTTACACACACACACACACACACACACACACACACACACACACACGCATGCACGCACCCCAAGCTGGCTCTAGTTTCATTTTGATGGTTCTTATCTGCCAGCCCCATTCCCACTGCAGGGAAAGTAGGGAGAACTTGTGTAGTTTGAGAATAGACGCCTGCCTCACAGTGCTGTCCAGCACTGTGCATTTGAGCATCTGCATTCTGCCAAGAGCCAGCGGAGGTCTCTGGGGCAGTCTTGGGTTCTTAGGAAAGGTTCAGTCTCAAGAGCCCTTGAGTTTAACTCCTGTGCTATGCCCCACCCATTCCACACTGGCTCAGCAAGTTTCCCTCAGTCACTGTGGCCATGCTTCCAGAAATCCCTGGTAGTGACGTGGCCCCCAATCCCCCCAGCCTGCCCATCATCCAGGCCATGTTCTTCCCCAGGCTGTTCCCCTCAGATGCTGGTGGGCGGGTCATTTGGAGATTAAAATTGATGAAGCATGGTGTTCCTCAGAGGTAGCAATATTTTGAGATGAGAAAGCATCTGCCTTGTTTCATGTTTTGGAAGTAGATATTTGAAAAGCACTATAATCATCCTAAATAGTCACTGCCATTTTTTTTGCCCTCGCCTTCTGGTGATGAAACTTATACTTTCTGTTTCTGTTACAGAGCACGCTGGAGAAGGGAGGATAAGTCGCCCTTGAAAACATGCAAAACTCCTCCAACATTAATTCCAGAGGTGGAACATTTTTTTTTTTTGTCTGAGTAAGAAAATAACCCAATTAAAGAGAAGACCACTTAAGACAGGAAAATGGACTCAACAGAATCATAGCATGATTTGACCAGCATCTGTTTGCAAAGCCAAGGCCTAGATCAGAGCTCAGTCGTCAAAGAACACTGTTGAGTGTTAATGAAACCCCCTTAAACGAATAAAAGAGAGGGGCGGCCCACTACGCCGTCTGTGCTGCTTTCTGTCCAGCTTCTACTGACATAAAATGTTTTTCTGCTCTGTACTCCAAGCTCTACCACTTGGACACCCTCCACCCTAAAAAAGCCAGGAGAGGGGTGGGAATATTAAACTCTTCCAAGTGGAGAACAAGCACAGGGTTGGGGGCAACAGTGCTGGGTAGAATGGTCTGGGCTGCCTGTTGTTGGTGTTCTCTTCCTTTGATTATATAAGAGCTGTTTCATTTTTAACTTATGGTGATCATGTAAGTCAGAAAACAGGAGAGAAAATGTACCTCTTTTACTGGAATAATGTTTATGATTACAAGAGAAATAAGGCATTTTTATCAATATAAAGGCAATCTTGACTTATGAAATCTCTGTAGTGAATACTGACAAGTTCACTCACTATCAATAATAAATCTATTTTCTGACAAAGACTGGCCTTGTAGCTTGGGGCCCGTGCATTCCTTTGCCTGGAAGTCGGATCTGTGTGGGGAACTACACTGCCTTACATTGCTATTGATTTGTATCTGCACCACACCTTGCCTCCGAAAAGCTCTGAAGCTGGTTGCAAAGCCAGGCAGGCAGGTGATGCTTCCAGCTTGCCTCAGGTAGGTGGAATTCGGTAAGATTTTACAAATGGCATGACCCTTCCCTTCTTTAGGATGACTTAAGTCATCCTGCCTGGGGCCAGAAACCCAGTAGATAACCTTGGTGAGAACCTTCTGACCCTGCCAAGCTATGAAAATGTTTTAAAAAAAAAAATGGCTAGAGTTTCCCTCCTTGGTTTCACTGAAACTTCCTGATTTTAACTCTCCATTTTCTAGGAGGATGGGGCTTAAGCCCTAGATTTGAATCAGTTGGAAGTGAAGGAATGTCAGTGTTCTGTGGTCTCATCTGTCTTTTGTCATGTAGGATTTTAAAAAATATTTTATTTTTGTGTGTATGAGTGTACTGCCTACATGTAAATGATCTGTGTAATGCATTGCCCTCAGAGGTTAGAAGAGAGTGTCCGATCCCTGGAACTGGAGTTACAGACGGTTGTTAGCCATGTGGATGCTGGGAATCGAACCCATTAGAGCAGCCCCTGCTCTTAACTGCTGAGCCATCTCTCCAGCCCTGTCATGTAGAATTTTATTTTATTTTTTCTTTGTTTTAGAGTTTAGCAGAGACTAAGAATGCATGCTCTGTAATAAGGAACATCTGTGTTCAGAATCCAGCTCTGCTGCCTGCCAGCTAAAGGGGCCTAAACTCCTTCCTACCCCTCCCTTAAATATAAAGAGGGACCAGTGCAAGAACCCGGATTTCAGTCTTGTGATAGAGTTAGAATGTTCACCACATGCATTTGTTCAGATCCAGTAAATGAGGGTTTGTACATTATTTAGTAAACTGGTATTTGGAGTTAGAGATGTTGAAAGGTTACTCACATGCCCAGCCTTTATTCCAGAGAAATTCAAGATGAACTTGGAGAGCTTCTCAGAACTCCCAGGAATATACCTAGTTTCTTCTTCATCTAAGTCCCTGGGTTGGCACCATCTGAGTGACATTTGTCGAATCAGATGGGAACACACCTGTAGGCCTGGTGTTGATTCTGAGTGACAGTAGAGACCCTCTTAATTACTGAGCTACCCTGTGATTACCATTTAATGAGGGATTTTTGTTGGGGGTTTTCTGTTGGCTGGGTTTGTTAGTTTTGTCTTTTAATGATGCACCATCACCTGGTTGGTTTACGTGACTGATGCAACCATCACTAGCTTGAGGAGCAGTACACTTTCACGCTGTCATGGTAGCATCCAGGTACCACCTGAGAGAAATAATAGGTGCACAGAAACATGTTTATACTGTGGTTTGCTATAGTGTTTGCAAATCAGCTAACTTGCAAACTCCCTGTGATACTGTTTTGTTTTGTAATTTGGAGCCAAGAACTTGGCACATCGCAGGCTGCCAGTCTTGTCGCTGGCAGAGGACAGCAGCTCTGAGGAGCTGGGAGTTTAAAGCTGGATACATCTGTGGATGGGGAAGTTTCTCAGGCCACCTCTCAGAACACTGGTTGTCAGTTTATCATTCGGATACACGTAATGGATGCAAGGGGGAAACACACACTCTGGGGACATCAAAGGATAAGGTAGTAGTGACTTTTTCTACATCTTTTCAGACCGCTCTGGATGGCTGCACAACTTCATAGGCCACCATGAACTCAAGACAGCTGCTTGGGAAGAGTGTTGTGATTTATATGAGGCTCATGGAGGTGGGGGATACAATCCAGTCAGTTTTCGTAGTAAAGTAGAACAGATCTTAAACCATGGTAGTTTAGCTCATAAAGCCAAGAAGAATACAGTGCCTTCAAAGCTGCTCAGCTAGGTGCCACCCTCAAAAAAAAAATACCTGATGAACTTACAGAAGACAGCTGGGTTGAAGCAGCACATGTAGTTATGGAAAGCTTGTCAACATGGAATGGTTCTTAAAATGATTGAATGATCTTTAGTAATCCCGTGTGTGGAGTGCAGAAAGCCAGTAGCTGTGGCCTCCTGTTAGCTGATGAGCCTGTCCCCTACAATGGTCCTAAGCCGTATGGGCTTAGACCTGAGCAAGCAGTCACATGGCTGCAACCTCTGTGCCTTAGAGCTGAGGGCTTGGGGCTCCTTGAGCAGTATCTTTCAGCCTAAGGTATAATTGCCTTTGCAGACACCCACCCACATTGTCATGAGCCATAGGAGCAAGCCTTGGAGGAGTAAGTTCAAGAGACACATTAGACAACAAAGTGATTATGGTTAATAACAGTATGTTGAATTCATGAAAAATGAAAAGAATGGCTGAGCAATTCAAAAGGGCAGCAGCAACTTACTGACTCAAACTAAGTAAATTGAAAATTGGAACTGTTGTTTCTATTCCTGACCTGGTACGGGTTAGTATTCATCCATAGGCCCTCACTTCCCCTTCTTCCACCAAGTTCTCTCTGTAGCTCTGCCTCCTCCTCTCCCTGCCATCTTTATTCCTTCCCCTTAGCTCTTCTGTGTGTTCAGACTTTTCTCATCAACATTCAGCTCCTCCCAAGGCTATAACACAGGAGTACAAAGGGCCTTGGGGGTGCTGAGTTCTCCAGTCCTCACTATAGAGTGACTTGCTGCTGTCCTTCCTATTACCTTGTGACTTCATCTTTCTTTCCTGGTCCAGCCTCCTAAGTCTTCAGTTTGACATTTTCATCCTTTATGTTTGCAGTTTAATTTATGAATTGGGTAAATGAAACTTCTCTAAAGAAAAAAACAGAAAAAGCCATCACTGGCCCAAAAGTACTTACTCAGTGACCAGGTATGTCCAGCAGCCTGGAACATGTAGTCAAGATTGTACAGCTAAGACACATGGTTAAACCACCCCAGAGACATGAGACCATAGTACCTATAGCAGCAGAGATGATTGTGTGTGATAGGGACCACATCCCAGTTTCATAAACATTCCACCACAGGCTCCCCTCCACCATTCCTTCAAAAGAGCAGGTTTCAGCCTCTCTGTTTTCACTTTCCACTCTTCAGATGTCAAATTCCTTAAAATGGAATGCTCACATATTTTTTTCAGACAGGGTCTCATTGTAGCCTAGTCTGGCCTTGAACTCACTATATAGACAAAGATGACCCTGAACTTCTAATCCTCCTACCTCCACCTTCTCAGTGCTGAGATTGTAGGCATGTCCCGCCATGCCTGATTAACATGCTGTGAACGGAACCCAGGGCTTCCTTCACATGGGCTGTGCAGGCACTCTGCTGCATCTCTACTACACCACGCTGGCTCTTGGTGTACATGGAGTTTCAGACACTGTTCCCAGAAACTCCTTTCCCTTCTCTCAAAACTCTCATTCTGAACCCCTGATGATAGGACAGGGAAAGTCTGAATTATCAGTTTTGATGATTCATACCTGTGCTGAGGGTTGTCTCCTGACGCTCTCCAGCCCTCCTGTGCCTCAGTGAACTCTCGGGATTGCTAACCTTAAATCAATGTAGATTTGCTGTCCGTGACACAGTCACCTTGCTCATTGGGCAAGGTCCCTTAACCATAGGAGTTGTGCAGCCAGAGCACAGACAGTGCCCATCACCATTACCTTCCTGAGTTCCTGAGCCCTGGATTTGGGCGGAAAACCAGCTAATTCTCCTGCGTCCAGCTGAGACGATACAGTTCATCTGGTGGTCTCTCTGTTGCCTCCAGCTTCAGTATTGCTGGAGAAACAGGAAATTGCTTCAGTTAAGGAAGGGAAGCAAAACCCCCACATCAAAGGAAACCCCACTCTTCCTGTTTGTGGATAGATCCATGGTCTTCTCTAGACCATGATAAAGTTGACTGTATTATAGAAGGTAATCAAATGTCAAATCCACTTCAGATTCCAGAAAAATCTGCCTTTCAGCCAAGGAAGTTGGAAATTAAAACTATTAAGTTCAGTCCCCAAAACTCCCTCAAAGCAAGTCAACCTTAAAGGGAAAATAGCTACACTGGGATTTAATGAAGTACCAGCACACTTCAAAGATTTTCTCCTGCAGGAAAATTTGACTTCCCCCACCTCTCTGCCCAGCCTCTGTGCAGGCTTCCCCACCTCTCCTGGGAGGACCCATCCAAGCTGTGGTCATTGTCACTTTGCTGAGAATCTAACCCTGCCTTCCACACAAATTACATTTCCATAATGCCTTTTAAATGCAAATGTGCAAGCCGGAGGTCAGAGTTCCTTGCCATGACCGCTCCACTCCAGCTATGCCTTAATGGACAGCAGATCTAACCCTGAGTGGCGGCCATTTGGGAACCTCCTGCAAGGGTCCTTTGCTGTCAGACCTGCTGGTGGCCTGGCTGCTGGTAGTCCTCATCAGTGTCCGCCACGTGGGTTGAAAGCCTGTGCTAACCTGCTTGTGTCCTCTCTTTGTCAATATATAAAGTTGAGGTTAAGGGCCAGATGACTGGCCACCTGCCTATTTTCACTGCCTGTGTAGCCTAGGAGACAAGGCAGGCCACATTCTTCAGCTCAGCAGCCGAAACCTCATTTTCAGCATCAAACTAAGCATGCAAAGCACGTTTTCTTGTGGCTTTGCATCTCACCAAGATAAAGTACTCCCACTCCGAAGTAAGGTGCTCCCACTCCCTGAAGCATGCTTATCAAGTCTTGGGAAAGAGTACCACGTGGACTTGGGGCAGCACTGGGGCTTTGTGTCAAGCACAGAAGGTGGGCCACACAGCAAAAATGGGAATCCTCTTGGGCAGCGAGTGAGCAGGATGTCATCTGGCCTGCCGGCAGGGATTGATTTTTGAATTACCTCTGTTCTGAAAATGCCATCTGTTAATTGTGAACCCAGAATAAAAGAGTACCCATTCCCAAGCCAGCCTGGTCTACATACATAGTGAGTTCCCTGTCTCAAAAAGACAAAAAAAGCACCCATTCCCACTATCAGGTGCTTGATGTGGA